GTTTTAGGAATTTTGCATCAGGGACTGGGTTCAAAGCCTGAATGTTAGAATAAAAGATTCTCCCCTCTCCCTATTTATGAGGGTTTTAGGAGTTGTGTACCATGACCCATGGCTAGAGAGTTACATACAATTGACCAGTGCAAGGGTTAGATGCACTGATCCCTCCCCCCCATGCATTCAAAGGTCCATGTATAACTTTTGATTCTTTCAAAACTTACACTGCTACATATACTACGAATAGCTGTTGTTGACTGCAAGCCTCTATGATAACATAAATAACCAATTAACATTTACTTTGTATTTACTATTCATTAAGTGGCAGTGCATCACCATAAAGGTCTTCACCCTCATCATCTTCACATTGAGTAGGCTGAGGAAGAGGAGGGAGAGGAGAGTTGGTCTTGTCTCAGGGGTTCAGAGGCAGAAGAGGTGAAAAAGCTACACACATCAGTGGACCCATGCAGTCCACCCATGCAGTCCCAAATCATGTCATTCAACTTGATACCTGTCTTATTGTTTTACATTCATGCCTCTGTTGTCCTAGCCCAGGCTCTACATAATTATTCAGGCTGTTCTCCTACCTTCTTTCTCTGCTCTTTCAGTTTCTATGACCCCAGGTATGTTCCACTCCTCCATGGAGCGGCCTGGACACCAAAACCCACACGGGCAGAGGACTTGATCTCCCCCCACCATTTCATGGGTGGAAGCCCACGGAGGAAAGAGCCCATCCTGGCTGTGCCAGCACCCCAGGCCAGCTGAGCAGCATGGGGTCAGTTTATTTTGAGTGAATTAGTTGCTTGCTTTGATCTCAGAGGGTACCTCCCCATGTTGGAAGATGAAAGGCTCCCTTTATTCTGATTTTCTTGGAAAGAAACAACAAAACCCTGAAACAGCTACAGTTTTATATAGGAAGCATTATTTCTGAGCTAAATGATTTTTTTTTTTCCTGAAGGGAAATTTAGAAATTGTGTCTCCTGGTGGAATTACAGGAATGGAAATGAAGTCATGCATAGATTCACAGCATCTGAAGAACTCTGTTTTGGAACCCTATTTTGCTAACGTCTACAACTTGATTTAAAAAATTCAAGCTTCTGGGCCCAGTTCAACTTCACAGTAACACATGTCCCTTGGGTTTCTCCCCAAATTATTTTTTTCCTAGATCCAGTCAATTATTTGCCTTGGAATGTATTAGCTTTTCTGGGAGCTTCTGAATAACCTGACTTTCCTGGTTGTTGGCTGGCAAAGAAATGCTTTGATTTTAAACCAAAGAAGCCTCGCAAACCATTTGAAACTAGGGTGACAGGGCATGGCAGAGTACAAAAATACTTTACCCCTTCCCTTCCTTACTCCCCACCCTAGCTCCTGTTGCAGAAATTAAAATGTTCCCTCAGAATCACACTTCTTTGATATTTTTATCTTTCAAGCTTCGAGGCAAGTCTCGATTGGTTCAGAAAGTTTTCGCTGATCTCAGAATGGATGATGAGAGTCAGAGGCATGAATGTGACTGTATGTGAGCATGTGTATGTGTGTGTTCATGCATGAGTGCCTGTGTGCATACAAATGTATTTGTGATTATATATGTGTGTTAGTAATGTATGTGAGTGTCTGTGTATGTGTGTATATGAGCTTGCACGAGTCTGAGTGTGTATGACTCTACAATTGTGTGTGTGTGAACACCACCTTGGGATTCATATAATTTCTTTGTTCCCTGCATGTATATGTGCATATATATAGGAGAGGGGAGAGAGACAGAGGAGGGGGTACCATTGAAATGATATCAACATTCCCTTACAAACTCTATTTCTCATTATTCCTTAAAACAAAAAGAGGGGGACATGGTAAATGCTGAAAGTTTACTAAATCAAAAGCATCCTCTATGCTCTTGTCGTGTCAACTCTCCATTCATTCCTGCCTCCAGGTTCTTTTGTAATCTTTCCTCTGGTCCACATCTAATTCTGTTCCCGCTCATCTTCAAAACAAGTTCTGGTCCTTCTATAGCCAGGAACTATCTTCCAACAACTCAGGCCACTCAGGGTCCCAAATACTTGTTCTCCTGGGAGAGGGCCATTTCTCAGAATCACTTGGAAGCTCTTCGAAAATACAGCTGTCTAGGCCTGGCACTGTATATGCTCTGATCAACGTTATCACCTGAGGTTGGAACGCTTAGCTCTAGAGACAAAGTGACATATTCAAATGCCTAATTGTTTTCTAGGTGGCCTTATGGTTGGCTTGTGGTTAGGAAGCAATCTGAAGACAGGAATGAGCTCCTTGTCTTTCTGTTCTACCCCACAGAACCTTGCTGGGTTCAGGCATTACTATTCTAGAAGATCACAAATGATGTCCACTGATGACTCCCAGTTTGTGTCCTCAGCCGGCCTTATCTTTTGAGTTTTAGTTTTACATATTTGTGCTGATTAATAAGCTATTGTCTCTCAGCCCCAAACTACCTTTCTGGACTCAGTTTTGGATGCTGGGACTGGGAACCTGAAGATGGCATTTTCCCCTGCCAGCCATCTCTGCGAGGCTCTGCTGTGGGGGAAGCCAAAGGAAGCCTGAAAGTCTGGTAGGGGAAGGAGGAAAGAGCTTTTTACTTTCTGTTTTCCCTCTCTTCTGGATGGAATCACTGTAGCAGTATTCTTCGTGGGCCATGGTTGTTCAGCTAGAGCTGCCAGTTTCCAGATTTTTTCTGGCACTTGTCTTCAGGAACCTCCTCATATCCATCAGCATTAGCCTGACAGTGACCCTGGCTCTGAGGCTCAAATATTGGAGAGAGACCAGACCTGGGCCTTCTTTTCAGGCCTTTTCCTTTTGTTTTGCTACTTGACTTTTTAATTCCCACTTTCTTCAGTGGCCAAAATAGACCATTTTTGCAAAAATCTTCCCTGTGTGGAATCCATGGTTTTCTAGCTTGCCACAAAGTGATTATGAACAAATAGGAAAAAAGCAAAACTGGAAAAACTAACACTGAAGCAATCTTACTTGTCATGTCTTTGAAGAGAGAAGTATGGGTTTCCTTCATTTTGGCCGCTTCTTATAAAGACAATAATCCCATTCATAGGCCACCCCCATGACCTAGTTACCTCCTAAGTCTCCACCTCTAAATGCATTGGGATTCGGACCTTAACATATGGATCTGGGGTGAGGGGGCAGCACTTAGTCCATTGTATTTCGTGCTCCTTTTCTCCTTGCCCTTCTCATCATTTCCAGCTCCCCTCAGCAGTGTATTTCGTCAGTCTGCCTGTTCTGTTGCCCCTCTGTCTCCAGTAAATCCTCTCATCCTCCTGAACATCTGGCCTGTACCCCAGCACTTGTATAAATAAAAAATAAATCTTAAAAAAAAAGAAAAGAAAATGAAGTCCCTTCCTTCCTACATTTGATAGCGTGGCTTAATTACCTGTTAAATAGTGTCAAAGAAGTCAGCTAAATGCCTTGGTCCTTGATGCAAGCTTGCGTGTCTTCTAGAAAGACAAGAGCAGTGTACTGTAGCCTATTTGATCCTGGATATCCTTTTTGGCTTCATGAGTAGGTGTGATCATTGTCATGCAATATTCATATGATTCTATTTTTTTAGTTTAATTTCATTTTAGTTTATCAGTAGTAAAATCCCTGCTGGCATGTCATTTAATTTGCTCCCCTGCTAATGATGATTCTGAAGCCTTTAAAGAAATGATTATATGATAATACTAAATCTGATGGTAGATTTAAGCCATCATTTACAATAATAGGATCATAATGAAGCTCCCTGGGGTATCCCTTCTGGTAATACTGTCGGGTGGGTAAGAATCCGCAGGTCTTCATCTCATATTATTAGAAAATCTTCACTATGGACTTCTCATAGAGAAGGGGTTCTTTCTGGTTCTGACCCTGAAACTCTGGGCAAGACAGAAGCTGGCAAATCAGTAATTCTATGGTGAAGATAGATGGACTGGCCACACTTGCCACTGGGGCCCTCATGAAAAGGATGGGACTAGAGGAGTAGAACCAGTGACTCCCCCTTCCTTGCCATGCTTGTTCCCACTGCTGTGTGTAGCCTCTTATTATGGAGACAGACATCTGGGGCTGGAGCCTCAGAGGAGACCAGTGTGCCTGCCCTCAAGCAGCAGAAGCAGCAGCTCCTCCCTTCATGGCACCAATATGCAAGGTGAGACCCCTGGAACGAGTGCTGTGGACAAAAGGAAAGAGATGCCATCTCTGCCCCTAAGGTGGAATGAGCGAGAGCTCCTAAGTGTCATCCCCTGGAAGAGATGTCTCTATGGGAATAGGAAGGAGGGGTGGAGGGCTCTGTTTGCAGGGAATGAAAGGGAAGAGGGAGGTGTCATCCTTATTTGGAGAATTAGCAAAGACTTCCTGGAAGAGTGGTAGAGTTTGGTTTTTAAACACTGGTGGCGTTTTCTAGATGAAATGGTGTGGAACTCAAGTGAGGCTCATCCTAGGCAGATGGGTCCTTGTCAAGTAAGAAACCCTGGGGCCTTTATATTGTTTGAAGGGCCAGGCCAAAGTCATTGAGGGTGGAGCTGGAGCTGATGCACCTCTTTGTTGTTTTTTCCTGACTTGCTTCACAGAACCATAGGACTCTGGCTTAGCATGTGACTCTTCCTTTGATGACGTGGGGACCAGAAGGAGTGAAGGGAAGAGATACTGCTCTCATTCACTGTGACCTAGTGGCAGATCATGGGGTTGAAGTTATGAGAAGGCAAGTTCAGGATCAATTATTCGGAAGAGTATTTAACAATGTTGGCTGCTTAATATTGAAGTAGACTGCATGGAGAGACAGTAAGTGTCCTACCAATTAGTGATTTGCACACTGACATCTAGTTAGATGAGAGAGAGATTGCATACCTTGGGACATGACTGCAAAGAGTGCCTCTGCTACTGCCCAGGCATGACTCCCACTACAGATTTCTGAGCCTAGAGTTAGATATGAGCTAATGGAAACATGGGGACTTCTGACTGTTTTGCATCTTACTTTCATAATAATGAGCAAACAGAAATAATGACATTAGGCATTTCCTTTTATTTGTTGTTAAAGGATTTCTGCTGGAATGGCTCAGAGGTCCTGTGAGCATCAGCTACAAACTCATTGAAGAATATGGTGAAAAAAATACATATACATGATGTATGTACATATGTGTCTATTCTGAGGTGCATCTCTGAGGTTGCTGCCTGCTCTACAGGGAGGCTCAGAAGCGCCTCTGGAGGGCAGTCTGGATATTCTTCAGCAGGCCCCACTTGGCTCGGGCCTTCCCACGCCCATCCGGTGTCACCACCTGCAATCAGAAGCAGAGAGCCATGGCACAAGCAGCAGAAGCAGCAGCTCCCAGGAGCCTGGCCCTGGTGCATGCCAGACACTGTACACGTTATCTCATCATCTCCTCCTGGAAACCACCACCTGAGGCAGGTGCCATCCATCCCATTTTACAGATGAAGAAACTGAGGCTCAGAAGGACCAGGTAGCTTTCCTAAAGTCTCATGTGATGGGATTGAGATTTCACAACCCCTTTAAGGCAGCTCATGTGACCAGGTGCTGATGACTATGTTGGAGCTATGACACCAGATGGGCTTCACCATGGAGTTGTGCCCTGGGTCTTCCCTCCCTCAGCCCCTGGAAATTGCTTCTGTCACAGATTTTATTATTTGTAAATTTCAGTGAATATGTTTGACTTTCTTATCCAACTGTGAGCATCTTGATTGGGGTGTTGGGGAATGAAGGTCTTTCATTTTTGTAGTCCCAACATTGGTTGTACTAAGAAGAAGTTTGTTAGGAAAGTAGATGACAGGTGAGTAAAACCATATCCTCTGTGAATCTGCCAATCACTTCCTTTGATGCTTCATACTATCTTTGTTCATAGTGAATGGTCAGTACTTTCTAGAAAAGGCAGATTTCATTGGGTAGCAGGGCCATCCTGGAAGTCTCACCAGCTCAGCTTCAATGTGGGTCTCCATACCTTACTTTGAAATTGGTAGATTTCTCCATCTTTCTGGTCTAAGAGTATTCCCATTCCTTCCCAATTCACATTTAGTGAAGAGGCATTTCAGGGGTGAGGTTGGGGTCCAGGGCTAAGAGATGGCCCAATGGACTCTGTCTAGTTGAATCAAGATCCAGGGAGGGTGATGGGGAAGTGTGTAGCTTGGAATATGAAGAGCAAAGTTTGCATAAGGCACAAAGTCTCTATATACAAAGGGTTAAACTTTTAATGTGTATATTCAAAGGGGAAGGGCAAAAAAAATCAACACTTATTACCATTATGCTCTCTATTTATATAAAATTTCCTTTCAATTTTAGAGAAATGGGCTTCATACAAAGTAAAGCTCATTTTATAGACGTGGCATTAGTTACCTATTGCTGGATAAAATGGAGATAACACCTAGAAATAACACTGGATAAAAATAATTTCAGTAGTGTTAAGAAATACACACAGAGCTACTGGGGGCCCATGAGGAAGGGATAAAAGTGTTGTGAGGGACTGGCATTTGACTCAGAATAAATAAGGATATGATCATTGCCTGAATGTTTTCTAGGATCTCCAAAGACAAAGACTGTGTGTGACATGTAAGGTGTGCAGGGAGTAAGGTGTGTCTATCAACAAGGGAATTGTAACAGTGTAATCTAAAAAGGGAAAGTATCATGTTCGCTGCCCCACCTAATGAAGGATGGAGATGAGCAGTGAGGGGAAGCTAAGAAGGACTAAGGAGAGAGGATTTAGAGAGAAGACTTGGAGGAGTCATGTAGAGCAGAGACATGAGAAGAAGCAGCAGTATTTGCTTCTTGATCTTGGACTTGCTCCAGTGACCTGGGGTACATGGAAGGAGACAGGTGGAAGAGACATGAATGAGAGACCAGAGGGAGGCTTACAATAGGAGCCTTGCCTTTATCTTGACTTGTCCTTTAATTTGCTCCTTTCCTTCTAGACTTGCCTGGCCCTTTCTGCCTCTTTCACATGGTTTCCCGCCAGCAGGTGCCTTAGACTTGTGGCAAGATTTCAGGCCACAGTGCCAATCCTGTTTGGCTGGGCATTTATCACAAGGGGATGGGTAACTTTGGGTGTCTCATTGGGAAACTATATCCTTTCGCTTCTTATCTCTCTGTTGCACATCAATTCTACTTTTTTTCTATTGATGATTTTAGGTATTAATGTGCTTTGTTTTTATGTGGTGGATGGCATATGCTGTTTGGACCACACAAATTTAGGGGTCCTGGGATGCCCCTAAGTCTGCCTGCTAACAGGTCAGAAAAAACAGAGTACAGAAATAGAGATAGCAAAGAAATTATAATGATAGTTGACATCCCATTTCTGCTCAAAATGCCCTAGGTTCAGATGGTTTTCCAAATGAACTCTACAACTTTTGTGAAAGAGTTGTTCTAGAAAATAGGATAAGGATAAAAACTTCCCAGTTCATTTTATAAGGCTAGTAAAATAATGATGTCAGAACAAGATAAAAACAGCCTAAGTAAACATTATAGGTCTCATTCACTTATGGCCATAGCTACAAGAAAACAAAATAAAATACAGGTTAACTAAAAATTAAGTGTATTAAAAAAATACATCATGATCTCATAAAGTTTGTTCCATGAATCCAAGTTTAGCATCAAAAAATCAATATAATTCACTTTATTAATGCCTAAAGGAAAAGAAAAATCATACTATCTCAAAAAAAAATTATGAGGTTGCATAAACTCTCAGAAATTTAGAAGTACAAGGAAATTTCCTTAATGTAATAAATATTACACACTACAAAAATGAAATCAAAATCATCATAGCTCAGTGGCAAAATGTTAATATCAGGAATAATACAAGGATATCAAGTATTGTGGCAACCATTTTCTGTAGGGCTCATGGAAAGAAAAACAAAAAACAATTTTGAGCACTGTAAGGAAAGACATAAATGATTATTAATTATAGAGCATAATTTGGAATAACAGATTCTCAGAATAATAAAATAGCTGATCAGGATTGTTGAAATCAAGATTAACTGACAAACACTGGTAGTTCTTGTTCTAAACCAGTAACACTAGAAAATATAATCAAATAGAAAATAACACTCAGAATATCAACAAAGTCTGTAAATTCCTTGTTAACAGGTACCAGGAACATATAGTAACTTTATGGGAAGAAGGTAAAAGCTCTTGTAAAGCACATAGAAGATAATATGAATAAATGTTCAGACATATTACAAAAGTCTTAAATGTCTCCAAATTGATTTAGAGACTCAATGCCTTCCTAGTGAAATTTGATCTAGATTTATTTTTAGGAGTTCAATTTATTTACTCTAAAATTTATATGAAGGAATACATTTCTGGGATCTCCCTAGTAGCCTAGGGATTAAGTACAGTGCTAGGCCTGAAGAAACTGAGTTTGACCCCTAGCCAGGGAGCTACCCACATGGCACAGCAGACCTTTCCTGACTCGTCTGCTGCTCCCCTCAGCAGTGTATTTCAGTCAATCTGCCTGTTCTGCTCCCCACTCTGTCTCTGGTGAATCTTCTCACCTCCCTGCACTTCTGGCTTATACCTCAATTCTTCTATGCAAAAAATACCCCCCAAAACCCATAGAAAACAAAACACATTTCTAAGATTAGTTAAACAACCTTAAAAAGGAAAGAAGGGTAATGGAAAAACTTACCTTGTTGGCAGTTAGTCAAGATATAGCACAAAGCTGAGTTCTACAATAAAAAAGTAAAACCAGTGTGGTATTGACATATGAATAAACAAATAAGCTAGTGGAATACAATAGAGAGTTCAGAGATGCACCCTTACATATATGACAACTTAATGTAAGAGCAAAGTCACCTTTGTTGTATGCTAGTGGAGAAAAAATGGTTTGGTAAAATGTGATTGGGAAAAGTGGTTTGCTTCATGGCAGAAAAAGTCCATCACTCTCCAGAACTACAGACAACAGCAAGCTCTAGATGAAGTAATAGTCAACTTTGAAAGCAGAAGCTATAACGTTAATAAAGGAATATGTGGAAGATTATTTTTGTGCACTAAGCCTTCAGAAGGACTTCTTAAACACAGCTTCAAAAGGTCAAATCATAAGGAAAAAATAATTGATGACTTTGACTTTGATCAAATCAAATTGAAGATTTCTTTAGTTTCATGAAGTACTCTATCAACAAAGTTAATATATAAACATTGGAATGGAGAAGATATTAGCAGTGTCTAAAATCATTATCTAGACTGTATAAAGAGATCCTGCAAATCACTTTGAAAAGGAAAAATGCAACAGAAAAAATGGGCAAAAGACATTATTAGGCTATTTACAGAAGAGGAAATCCTGAAAAATAACAAGCATCTGAAATGAAATTAAAAACAGTAAAGAGATTGCACTTTATACCTAGTGGGCTAGCAAAATTTCAGAAAGCTGGATTGTGTCAATTGTAGGTGGAGCTTAAATTACAAGAACTGTCATTCATTCCTAGGCAAGTGTGCATGTGCTCACATCAAATATGCACAGACACCAAGATACAGCAATTTCATTCATGGTATGTATCTGTTAAAGGCTGAATTGTTTTCTCCCAGAATTCATATGTTTAAGTCCTACCCCCAGTACCAAATATAGTGTGACTGTATTTGGAGATAAGGCTTTTGAAGAGGTGATTACATTAAAATGAGATCTTGAGGGTGGGCCCTAAAGCAATCTGACTAATATCCAAATAAGAAGAGGAAATTTGGACATGCAGACATACCAGAGGTGCGTGCATACAGAGAAAAGGCTGTCTGAGGACCCCAGGAGATAGTAGTCATCTGTAAGTGAAGGAGAGAGGTCTCTGAAGAAATTAGACCAGCCAACACCCTGATCTTGGACTTTGAGCTTCTAAGACTGTGAAAAAATAAAATTCTATTGTTTAAGCTGACTCCCCTCTTTCCCCCGCAACACCAATTGGTGGTATTTTGTTGTAGAAGCCCTAGAAAATTAATTAAGAATCCTAGACAAGTTTTCCCATCACCATCCTGCCCATGAGGTGTCAGGAGGCTGTACACTGCAGCATTATTGGAGTTCACCTGGGTAGCAGCTGAGTAGATGCTAAAATGTGGACAAATGCATATTATGAAGGATGAGGCAACATTAAGAGTAAGTGACCTAATATGCATGACAACTTGGATTGATCATAAAAATACAGTAATTTGGGACACCATTAGTTTTCTAAAGGTGCCATAAAAGGGAAAAAAGGTAAGGCGTAAAGTAAGATATGTAACACAGTATTGTTGTGTAAGTTAAGAACAATCTCAAACAATACACATTATGCAAGACACACAGAAGTAACAAGATACACATAAAACATAATAGAATGGAAGTCTAGGGAAGAATGATCACCAAGGAAATATATGCACAAGAAAAAGACCTCCTGTAGATCAATGATGATAATGGGGTATGAATTGAGGGGTATGATTAATTTAACTCTATATATGAGGTTAACAATAATAGGTTCAGCTTGAACCTAAATTATACTCACTCCAGGGTTCAAGCCTGCCTTCCAGGCAAGTAAGCAGGAGGTGTCAATAAGTTCTATTTGCATGAAGGATCATGGAGTCCCTTGGAAAAGAATAAATCCTAAGTAGATAGAAAATGTAAACCATTTTGATTTCATTTCAGGGCATGAAGCCACAGGTTACCCCCATTATCCTAAAGCAGAACATTCCTATTTAGTGTAATTTGGTAGGTTAGTTTCAGGGTCTGAGAATGGTCAAAACCTTTTTCAGATAAATTAATGGAAATGGCATCCCCAGATACCCAAAGCTTACCAATCATACCAAATAGGAATACTCTACTTTTGGATATGGGGAACACCTGTATGAGGTAGGTTTGGGGTAGTTATGCTGAGTGTGAATAGTGATGGTAACCCAAATTGACCTCCATCACCAACCTCTGAAGGTGCATGTCAGCCTAGGCAGAGTTTTCAGTATAAGAGAGAAGGGGGATTTAAGAAAAAACAATTTGTAAGATGCCCAGAAAGTCCAGGCAACCCTACTCTGTGTCTGGAGTTCCAGATGGAATAGACATTGGTCAGCATGGTGAGACTCAGAGTACCAAGGTGGATTAAATACCTGTGAATCACAGGGAGTGGAACCCAGCACACACTGAGAAGGAATTTCAGAGGATAGGTGGAGATGGGGGTAAGCACTTTTACTTAGTAGTGATAAGGAAGATCCAGAACAGTACTAGCTTATAAGTAATATCGAGTCTGAAATTTCCCTCTAAATATGATATAGGGGCTCCCTGGTGGTGCAAGGGGGTTAAGTTTCAACACTATGAAGCAATCCACAGCCACTGCAGCACTAGTTTGATCCCTGGCCAGGGAACTAACCCACATGGCAGAGCTGACCTCTCCTGTCTCACCCACTCTTCCCCTCAGCAGTGTATTTTAGTCAATCTGCCTGTTCTGCTCCCTGCTCTGTTTCTGGTGAATCCTCTCATCCCCTCCCCACAATTCTGGCCTACACCTCAGTTTTTATATGCATAAATAAATAAATCTTTTTAAAAAATGAATGAATATGATATAATCTGGGGCAACCAGTTTATAGATTATAGTAGGCAGAATAAGAGTAATGCTCCTTCTATTCCCCAGAGCCATTCCAAATCCTAAGCCTGGAAGCTGTGCTTATGTTATGCTACATGGCAAAGGGGGATTAAAGTTGCTAGTGAACTGGCTTTAAACTGGGCAGAGTATCCTAAATCACCAGGTAACTTTGATATAATCATAATAGTTCTTCAAAGTAGAAGAGGGAGCCAGAAGAGAATCAGAGAGATAACAGTGTGAGGATGACTCAATCTAATAATGCTGGCTTTGAAAATAGAGGAAGGGGCCATAAGCCAAGGAATGCATGCAGAAGCTCGAAAAGGCAAGGGAATGAATTTTCCCCTAGAGCTTCCAGAAGGAACACAGTCTTGCTGACTCTTGGCTTTTACCCAGTGAGATTCATTTCAGATTTTCTATTTCCAAAGTTATATGACAATAAATAAGTCTATGTTGTTTGGGTCACTAATTTGTTACAAATACAATAAGAAACCAATGCACAGATAAAAAGTTGGACTTGTCATGGGCAGATAGCTGAGTTTTGAAGTCAGAGATAGACAGTGAAGGTAAGGATATTATTTTCAGAAATGGCGTTGTTGGTCAACAGGTACATTGAAGACTAGGAGAAGAAAAGGAGGAGAAACTGAAGCCAAAGGATACTCCATTCTTTCAAAAATATCAAATTCTTAGATGTTAAAGGCTCTTCGCCGAGGACCATGGGTCAAGAGGGGTGAGTAAGGCCAACACAGTGTCTATTTCATGGAGTGTGTTGGAATGTGGATCCAGGTCCACAAGCCCAAGTCCAGTGCTCTTTCCAATGCATAATCTTAACTCTCAAAAATAAAGAAATAAATAAAAGAAGTCCTGCTCTCATTGCTGTTTACTTGGACAACATTCTGTCAAGCATGAGGGGCCAGCTCTCCAAGGCTGAGCCCACTGCCCAGACCTCGCTGCATCTGATCATGGTACAGGAAATAGAGAGTTCCCACATTGGAGAAGAACTAATTCCCATTCAACTCCTCCTTCGACTGATATGAGGCCAGACATATTCTCTGATCCTCGATAGTCTCATCGGTATATTGGAGGCAGTAGCTTCCCACCATCTGAGAGGCTGGGCAGGTCAGTGGTGATGATATGCAGCGTCTGGGTGTCTGACATAGTTGACCTTCAATAAATGGGGCCTTAGCAAGTCTTAAAGTTAATTTTCATGCTTCATGTATTATACTGCAAATAAAATCCCTTAAAAAGTCAACAAGCTACAGAATATGAAAATCAAATATAAAAGCTGTTATTTCACTTTCTTTACAAAGGTACATATGATGAAATATTGCATTTTGGATAAGAAATGATTCTGCTGCCTCATTACAACATTTTAAATGAAATCTTTCAGGAATACCTGCATAGAACTGATGCCAAAGAAAAAATATTTCGATTTTATAAGAAGGAGCTGAAGTCATTACTTTTATGAAGCTTTATAAATGTCATTCAAACACACCATCTTATTTTCATTCACCATTGAAGCCTTTACTTATGCAAATCATGACAAATGCTAAGGAAACCAGTGTTTCCCCTGGAATGCTAATATAATCACAAAGAGAGAGGAAGAATTACTTCTGAAGGAAAAATCTATATTGCAGCTCTGCAAGTCAGATAAAAATGAAGCTTCCAGAAAACCTCATTAATTAGTGCTCTGCTCATTTAGAAATGGTGTTAAAAAGCAAAGAAACTAGAATGGGTTTGCTCCTCATATTGGAATGCAAATTAATCGCATAAACACAATTTCAGGGGGAATGTTATTCCTGACTGATTGTATAAAACACTTAACAGCTTTTAGGCATCTCATGGTACTTTATAATTATTAATTTTATTTATCAATTTATTTTCTCATTCTTTAATTTAGACATTCATTCATATGTTCATTTGTTTGGTCACATTTTCACTCATGTATTCATTCAATAATCATTAAGACCTGCTACATACACAGTGCTGTAATAAGCACTGTGGGAGAAACAAAGATGAATAACACAAGCATTTTGTTCTCAAGGAGTTCAGAGTTGAAGAGGGATGATAAAACCACTGCCTGAGAAAGGTCACATACTTTAGTCCCTCCACCCTATCCCTGTTCCTCACATTTAAAAAAGGACAGAAGATATATATATATATAAATTAGTGACAGCACCTAGGGTCCTCCATGGGCAAGACAGTTTTGAGGAATCCCTGAAAAATGAGGAGGAGGGCGAAATTAGAGTGCAGGAAAAATCCATAGTCAAAATGACACACTGAAGAATGGGGTAGCAGCTGTGGGGAGTTAGTTCCATGCTGTGGAGAGAAGGGTGTTAGCAGGAAGGGATCAGGGACAACTGACTGACAGACAACTGGCTGAGGTTGGCAGGAGGAGCAGCCAGGTCCACTCTCTTCATTCCACTTACTTCCCAGGGCAAGGTGTCTGACCTCTGTGGGAACGGGCAGGAGTGCGCATGGCGGCCAGGCTCCACAGCAGAGCTTGAGACTGAAACTGGCCCTCAGAATGAGGTAGGAGTCCCCACCCCAGGAGACTCACTATAGTCATACTGACCAACATCAGTCTCAGAATTGTGCCCCACCCACCTCTTGCTTCCCTTTATCACTAGATAACCAATCAGGGTGTCTTCTGCAAGCATTTCATCAGGGACAAAGGGAGCATGGTGGGTCAGATTAGGATGGCCCCACAGAGCTTTGGCCATGACAGACCCCACCACATGCAAGCAGAATGTAGCAGAGGAGAAATTAAGGACTAGTTGAAAATGGTGCAGAGAGAGAGAGATAGAGTAAGAGAGATGTGTAGGCTGGAGTGGTCTCATGAATTTGTTTTCTTTTAATCATAAAGTTTCCTTTTCAAAAGTTAAGATGAACAGGCTTGTTTTTTACTTCTAAAGAATCCCTGATTAAGACATGATCTATTCTGATTCCATAGAACACCATCATGGGTGTAGAGTAAGAGAGCTCTAAGCATTCTTGCTATCTTTTGCCCCTTTCTTCTTTGACTCTTACTAAAATTATACTCACGCAAGTGGGATATAAAGAAAAATCAGTCTTGCATCACAAAAAAGATAAAAATAATTTTGTGTCTTTTTTTTTGGAGTCCATCCTCACCTACTTAATGGTCATTCCTTGATAAGCAACAACTAACAATTTTTTTTAGTATAAGTACATCTGAATACTGCAAGGGGCAAACTTACTTAAAAATCATTTGTCTGCATTCTGTCTTTGTGTTTTTTAAATCTGGCACCCTACCCTCGCTTAGCTTCACCAAGGGGGCAGGCGTGTAACTCTTTTTTGGCCTCCTCTCACCACAATTATTATTTGATGAACCCGGACATTCTTGAAGGCATAAATCATGTCTTATTTTCCTCTGAATCTCTACATCCTAACACAATGCCTGGCACAAACCTTTTTTTTTTGAATCAAACTAAAGTAACAATTCTCAAGCCTTATTTGCAGTTTGCTGAGCCCAGCAGCCTTCTCTTTGACTCCAGTTAACAAGTTTTCTGTGGTTAGAGGAGGCAGTCACACAGTGGGTTCTGTGATCTTAGGATCATCCAACAGAGCTGCTTCCTGAGTGTATAAAGAAGATTGTTCTGAAAAATAATCTGCACAGTACCTTGCAGATGTCACTCCATTGCCCAGGACCGTTGTCATTGATGGCTCTAACTTTAAATAGGTATTCAGTGTTGGGGGTCAGGTTGTGTAGCTCCAGATTCTGCTGCATTATATCCCGAATTTGTCCACAGAGCTCTGTCCGCACATTGTTAGATGGAGAAGTAACGAGTTCATAGAATTCCATCTCAAAAGAGTCCACATCTTCTGTTGGGCATGTCCAGTAAACCTATGGAAGAAATAGACACATAGCTGGGTACCTTCTTTCCCATTCAAACTTCTTTCCTATAAAGTTTTACATCTTTGATGATCTGTAGGTTGAAGCTGACTTCATGCCCTTTAGCTGCTGATGACTTTGAATTAGACCTGTGCAATAGTCTTGAAAGACATTTTCATGAGGCCTGAAGAGATGTTTGTGATGCATTACAAGAGCCCAAGTCTGCTCCCTGGGTTTTTACTGTCCATCAACATGGAGGTGATCATTGCCTACCTGATAGCACTAATCAAAGTCTCTACTATTTATTGAACACCTATTATGTACCAGTTTCTATGTTAGGCATTGTCTAGCTCATTTAGTCCTCATAACCCCTTGGAAAGGAGATTTTATCCTATTTTACAGTTGAGGCTCAGAAAGCTTACATTTAGCGATTTCAATCCCTTATTTTATTTACCTTTTACTTTTTAAAAAAATTTATTAAAGTAACATTGCATCATAACATTATATAGGTTTCAGATGCACCATTGAGCATCAACATGTGTACAGACTACATTGAACTTTTAGTACATACACAAAGAAATAGAGCCCCAGAGAGGTGAAAGAATTTATCCAAGTAACGGAGAACATATATTCACATTCAAGACATAAAATATCAACTTGGCAAAAGAAATATTAACAAGTTGCAATAAGCTGATTGTTCTTGGCATATAAATATTTTATACTTGTATTTTTATAGATGTTAACTTGCTTTATTTAAATTTTAATAAATTTCAACATTTTAGTTTATAATATTAATTTATAATTGCTCTTATAACATCTAAATATTTTTATGAATTAGTATAATTGATTTGTGATTTTTATATATTTATACTTTTAAAATGTTTTATAAATTTATATTACATTAATAACAACTTATTTTTTCTGATTATTAAAATAAAGAAGTTCATTGTAAAGTACTTGGAAAGTATAGAAAAGTATAAGGAAAGAAAATAAACATCATTCATAATCCCACAATTCAGTTAATAATTCATTATTAATTCTTTTCAGTTTTGGAATACATACAAACACACAAATACATATAATTTGGATTATATTGCTTTGATTCCTGCTTTCTTTCATTTGCTATATTTTATATATTTCTCTATATCATTAAAAATTTAGTAAAGCGTCATTTTAATATCTGCCCATAAATGATTTAATCCTTCTGTAGTTGAACATTTAAGTTGTTTCTAATTTAATACTTTAACAAATAATGGTGCAATGAGCACTTTGGGGTATGAATCTACATTCTAATTTTTTATCATTTCTTTGGGAGGGATTTCTAGAAATAAAATTGAGTTTTTATTAAAAACTCTTAGGATTTTTAAGATATATATGGATAAGTTATTAAGACTGACTTTAAGAATATTTTCCTTTTTTTAAAAAAAATTTATTTTATTTATACAAGAGCCGGGGTACAGGCCAGATGCGCGGGAGGGTGAGAGGACTCACCAGAGGCAGAGTGGGGAATAGAACAGGCAGAATGACAAAATACGCTGTTGAGGGGAACAGTGGGCGAGACAGGTGAGGTCTGCTTGCCATATGGGCTGCTCGGAGGCCGGCGGGGATAGAACTGGCACTGCAGAGGCTGCGGACAGCTTCACAGCGCTGCACTCAACCGCCTGCACCACCAGGGAGGCCCAAGAATATTTTCTATGCCAAAAGCCTAATGGGAACCAGTAATCAACCATCATTTGAGAGAGATGTCAACACAGATTCCATCTTCTGCATGAGTGAGCTCTATGATGCCTGTGTTATTTCCATTCCAAGATCTAAAATAAAGATCAATAGTATTTTTACATCAAAAACCACTGTCAGTAGGTTTCAGTGATTTTTCTAGGGAGGCCCTTCTCTTGAGCTCTTCCAGGGACAGCAAACAGGTGACCAGGGAGACTGTTCTCCAAGCTCAGATGAGAGGAGGCATCACTAGTCCTTCCCTTACAGAGCAAGATCTTTCAACCTCCTGAGTGATGTGGAGGTGAGACTGAATGCCACCCCAGAGCTTGTGTCACATAGATTGTAGACCGTGCTGATCTAATGTCATGTGAAAAAACAGGATCAGTTGCTCACTTGTGAGTGTCACTTATGTGAAGGGCTGTGTCTGACAGACCACGGGAGGGGGTGTTTCATTTTGCAACAAAAGGTGATTCTTCGTATCAATTACAGACTCCACAACATAAATTATGATATGTCAAGAAAGTGGAAAAGTAAAGCTTAGTCAGTGACTGGTTTCATTTTGTTTGGGACCCTTGGTACTAAAGTGTGACCTGCAAACCACTGTCAGTGGCAACATCCAGAAATTAGAAAAGGAGATTCTCAGGCCACAGACCCACTAAAATAGAATCTGCCTTTTAACTAGAACTCCACATGCATGTTTATGTTTGGGAACCACTAGCTTATCCTTCAAGGATACTAAAAACCTTTGGAGGTGTTCTCAGACTATGGGTGCAAAAGATGGGTGCTACCACCTGAAAACAGGTCATGGGCTGGTCTGAGAGATGTCACCTCAAGAAGAGGCAAAATACGCTCTAATAGAACATCTACTTGCATGTTAATCTTTTTTCTTGCTGAACTTTAGTAATTCATAAAGAGTTCAATTTAGATTCAGCTGCATTTGAAGGGAATGCTAAGGGAAAGGTCATTTTCCCATGTTAGACCAAGAGACTGAGGAGTTCTGTCCTCTGGAGCCAGGTGATGGCCACTGCTGAGGTCTGCAAGAGCTCTCCCATGAGCTCCCCCTCCTGCAAGCTGAATCCTGGGAGATAAGAATTGGTATTCTATTGAGGATTATCCTTCCAATCTTTCCAAATTATGGAGGGTCCTTTCTTTAGGAGAGATGGTGATTTAAAGTAATTGTAGCCGGTAGATAATGGAGTCTACATTTCTAACTTCAATTTCCATGTTCTCTCTATCACAGGCTTTCCTTTGGGAAATAGTACACTCTCCAAGTGGTGTCTTCAAATTACTTTGGTTTCTTTTTCAATAAAGAAGCTGCCTTTGAAGTTGGGGCTTTCAGATACATTTCTGATTATGTGTTAATATATTGGGTTTAAACCAATCTCAGGTTACTTAAGATTTCAGAAAAAATCACACTTTTGAGTAGGCAGACCAAAAAGGGTCCAGAGGAGAAGGTTTTTGTGAGCAGACTTAGAGCTCAAAGAGTTAAGTGTAACAGTCCCTACTCTACGCCATGCCCTGCACTCTCCCAAATTCCCCACAGGGCCCAGAGCCTTTCTCACCTTGGCAGCTCGAGGATACACCAGAGTCTGGTAGATAACTATTGGGCCTGGGGTTTTCACAGAGCCATCATTGAATGAGTACCAGTTGTGGAAGCTGCTGGTGTTCTGCACAGGTTGGTTTTCTGTGGTTGCACTCCAGTAGGTGTAGAGGCCCTCTGTGGGCTTGGCAGGCATGGCTGACTGGGCTCGTGCACAGACCTCGGTACCCTTGGCCTTCTCCCCAGTGGTGGTGAAGGACAACAAAGAGGCGCTCCGCTGGTACAGCTGTTGGTTGTCGAAGCTGTGGGTGCTGAAGGTGACCTTCCTGGCAATCATCATTTCTGGGTGCATGGGGTAGGGGGTGGGCAGATTTTCTGTTGAGGAGCTTTCTACCTTCTTGGGTCCTGTGGGTCCTGTGGGGAAGAGCTCATGGATGGCACTGGAAAGCTCAGTAAAGTCCAAAGGCATGCAGTGCGAGGAGTGCAGCCTGAGATGAGGGTCAGGCCTGAAGGTGGTCTGGATACCATCCTCGATCTGGTCCACCAGGATCTTGGCAGATTGCAGGAATGCCACTTGGCCTGTCTCCTTTAGGGCTTCCTTGGAGTAGGCAATCAGGCCGTCCATTTCATTCACTTTCATGTTTGTGACATGCACATATTTTTCAATCTCCTTCTGCCTGAAAACTTCCAGATTCTCTATCTGCTCCATGATGGATTTCTCTTTCTCCTGAAGAATGTTACGCAGCTTGAGAAAGCCATTTCTGATCTCTTTTCGCTTAGCATCTTTGTCAGCTTTGAAGCTGTTTTTTAGAATGTTGAATTCCATTAGGTCATTATCAATTTCATATCGGACTGCAAAAAACCAGATTAGTTATCAGTTAAATTTTTCAGCTCCCCAGATGTCAAAACCAGCAGCAAATTAGAACAGCTTACCTTGGGCTCCAAGGAAGTGAGTGAAGAAGGAAGAGGTATTTGCAACTGACCAAAACCTACTAGAAAAGCTTTATGAAATGAATTTGGCTTCCCTCAGTATACCCTCTTTCTCCTTCTCCAATACTTTCCTCAGGTATCACAGTCATCCTTCCCTTGTATATTTCTCTCTATGGCCTTGGGCCTGAAGTTGGCAGTTAAAGGCCACCATAGACTGATTTCTGGCAGACGTCACTTATCAGTAAGTTGGACTTGAGAAGAAGTGATTTTACAAAGTGGCTGGTTTTCTGTGTAAAGGCTAAACTTTTGTAGAGGTAGGAGAACAAACTAGATGATACCTGCCTTACTCACTGCCTTTTATCAATCACTAAAAACCTAGCCCTAGACAACATTGGGAAATTAGCAGTTTCCTTCACGTTTCTGCTCTTCACCTACCCCTTTTCTCTACTGGGGGACTTCAAATCTCTGGTTCAGCTGGCCTATTCCTTTTGCCTTTCCCTCACTTCCTTACAAAACAGGGTTTGCTGTTGCACTGCAAGGAGAACCCAACTTGTCCTATAGTCTCTCACGTGGTATTTGGACCTTAAACAGTCATTAAACAAACATTTGCTGGACAGCTGTTCCATATCACATGTCTTTTAGGAAGTAGGAATATTGATATAAATATATGAGGGCACCGCTGCTCGAGGTACTCATAAATCTAACAACACTGCAGTGCAAAGGGTGGTGGGAAAGAGTGAGCACATGCCATATCGCTATCTGTGAAATGAACTTTTTTTGACTTTAGGCATTAGGCAGTGATTTGAAGATATGTTAACATTCTGTGGCCTATTCTAAAGATAAGTTCCTCCCTATGAAGTGGGCTCTACAGTGGAATGATGAGCTTTAATCCTCACCAAAATTTATTCAAGAGTGTGGTGATCACTTGAGTGTTCACATTGCCCTGGGTCCACAGTAAGCTGGGCCCCTGTGGGTGGTGACCACTACTATAATGATGTGTACTTGAGTAAGAAAACCCTGGAGTTCTGTCAGACCGTGAGAACAGGGACCCAGAGACCATGGTTGGTGACCATTTTGTTGGGTGTGTGTCGAGAGGCTCCAAAGGTGCTTGTTGGAGGGAAAACTTTGTGTTTTGTTTTTTAACCCCTTTGGTGTTAATGTCAGCTGTGTCACTCTCTGGCCTATTTTCTGAAATTCCCATATCTCCTGCCCACCACCCCCTTCACACTAGTCCAGAAGAGGAGGTGATACAGAATGGGGGTGAATGAGAAACTATCAGCTTGTGGGCTACTCAGATGTGCTTCCTGCTTCCTCAAGAGTAAGCCCAGATGCGATTTATGGCAGCTGAAACTCCACTTTCTGCATTCATTTCTTTGACTTTTCAGTAGTTACTCACTGTCAAATTTATTTGGATAGGAAATTCCTTGTTGTATTAGGGATTAATTGAGATTATATAGAACAAATTCCTGAGAAGTAGAATAAAAATTCCTTAGATGAGAGGGTAGAGGTAGTATCAAGAGAAAGGAAATAGGAGACCAAAACTGCCACCACCTGACCACTTACAATATGGCTGTTTGCAAGAGCTGAGTTAAAGCAAAGTCAAGTTTTCCATCAGGCAATATACTTAAAACTAGTTACTATTTACTATTATTTACTATTAACTATTATTTACTATTATTTACTATTATTTACTATTAACTAGTTACTATACATATATTGTCATATCTTATACATACTATGACTCATAGTCATGTTGTCATACATTACACGTCACTTCCTATAAGGAAGATATTGTTCCCATCTAGATAAAGAAACTGAGAGAGCTTCAGGGACTGTCCAGTGCAACACAGCAAGTAAGTGGGAGAAAACAGGGTCTCTGCCTAATTCTATTTGTCTCATTTCAAAGCCTATATTCTGAATTGTTCTAGTTGTGCTGCTTACCCCTCTGTGAGCATCAGAATCACCTGGGGAATTAAAGCAAAACCCTTCTCTTTCCTTTGCCTGCTAAATGAATTGACCTGAGTTAGGCTCAGGAACCCAGGTGAGGCAGTTTGTAGATAGGTTTTGAATCTAATCTTTGAAGGGAATTTTTGAGGGCTGGGGGGTGGTATCTTGAAATGTAGATTCCCATGCAATTGGTCTGTAGTGCAGCCTGATATTCTACATGACTAATTCCTAGGTGATTCCTGGAACTATTGGATCTTGGAACATACTTTGAGCAGCAGAGCTAAACTTCCGAGTTCCCCTTAATCTGGTAGTTCTCAAATTTGACAGTGTTAGGACAACAGGAGAGCTTTTGAAAGACCCCTGTTGCTCTGTGCATGGGGATAGGACATGGGTATCAGTTTTTGGTAGTGCTCCCTAAGGGGTTCTGATGCAAAGCCAGGAGATGCCATCATGAATTTAAATCAATCAACCCAAACAAGGCCTAGTGTTCTCAGATTACCTGCTTTTAAATTATCTGGAGATCTATTGAAAATGCAGATTTATGGCACCTCCCCAAGAAAGTTATTGGGTCTTTATGAGCAAATTTGAACACTAGTTAAATTTTTTTTTTTTTTTTGTTATTCCTGTAGGATAAGTAAAGTATCAGTTTTTTTCTGCCCTCCTGCCATTGGGATTGATAATGGATCCCTGTGGACCTGAATGCATGCCTAATGGCGGGCACCTGGAGTGGGGTGTGGGCATATGTAGGTGGGTACACCTGGGCTGAGACAGGGCTTATAAGTGCGGCATCACGGGGAACAGAACCATAAGAGGAGAACAAGCGAAAGACGGGAAGGGAACCAGCAGAGAAGCAGAGGCCACGAGAGAACGCCAGATTGCCCAGAAAGAGTGATTAGCCTCCCAACCCCCCGGCACCCCTGCCTGCCTTGTACCTGGTAAAATCCCAATAAAAGCCTGAAAAGCCACTGAAGGCTCCAGGCTCCTCCTTCACCCTTCTGCTTGGGTCATAGAGATCCTGCTCTGTGCCCTTCCTGCTGCTACAATTTCTTTAACAAAAAAGTTAAATCCTTTAGATATATTTAAATGAATATGCCAGGAAGGTGGCCCTTATCTCCTTCCCAACAGCTGTATTTCTGGAATTTGTACTGACCTTCCCTTACCCTGAGTCAGACTTTATCAGCTGACATTTAGGTGCCTTGGACTATGAGAAAACTATCCTGGATTTTTACTGTGTTAAAGACATGGGCTTCCTGTGGTTACACGGGTCCCAAAGCAGGCTATGGGCAGCAGCTCCTTCCCCATTCTGACATCTCAGAGAATCCAACCAAGCCCAGGCAGTGAGTTTCACCTTAAGGAAATCTAGAAACCAACAGGACTGCCCATTTGCTTGACAACTTGGCTTCAATAAGGTTTCTTTACATAGAAGCTTCCCTGTGAGTTTTTACAAAACTGAATAAACATCAACTGACAATGTTTCTAGGTATGGGGCAATAGAGAAATCAAGGTATTCCCTTGATTCCTGCTGGTGAGATGTCTTGGATAGAATTAGCAAGAATGTCTTTGACCCAATTCCATGTCCAATGAGACCTTTCTGTGCAGCTCAGGAAGACCCGCCTTCCTTTCATGGCCAGCATGTTTACAATGAACACTGAAATATCTGACCAAGGGCAGGGCTTGGGTTGAGTGGGTGCACTTTGTCACTTGAGTGTAGGCCTCTTTGTAAGAAATATACCACAGGTGGTGGTGGTAGGGGGCTGCTGTTGTTTTCCTATATCTCTATCTTTAGATTCTGGTCACTGTTTAGCACAGAGTAGGCTGCAAATAAAAATGGAATTAACAAGGGGGTTTGAGACAGATTGGGGCTGCCATTTACTGGCTGTTTTGTGCCAATTACTTCTTGACATGCTCCTTGTCTTACATTATCCATGAAGAAATTTTAATGCTTATACTAGAAGATTATTGAGAAGATTAGACACAGTTCTTCTAAGAGGCCTGGGTAAAGAAGACCTTTAATGAGGTAGATATTCAATGAGTCCAGCAAGATGGCAGCAGAGTGAAGATGGTGGGGCTTCCCACCACATACAATGACACTGCTGGCAAAGAAAGCCAACTCCCCTACAGGAAAAACTGATGACCACAGCCCACAATAAGGCCATTGACCCACTGGAAAGGAGAAGGAAAACTGCAAGTGAGCTTTCTTTAGGTTGATAACTTGGCAGAACATCGCACAAGAGGAAGGATCAGCTGCTGTGCAGAGCCCCCTATAGCTACTGGTTCACAAACATTGGGGCTCGTAGACCTGTCACTGCACTGGATAAGGGGGTGTGTAAGCAGGCACCTGGGATGAAGGGTGCACTGTGAGAGAGCTGCAGAGGTGGGGGCAGGGCAAGGTTTACTTGCTTGAGTCTGAGGCTCTAAGACAGAATAGCTGTAGTCTGAGTGGGGTCAGAGCACCTGATCTCCCCTATAGATGAGACTACTTCCTGAAGCCCAGGCTGAGCTATCCAAGACACCTGCGACCTGGAAAAAAGATACACTCGGAAAAACTATAGCTTGAGCACCTACCAGCAGAGGAAGTGGATAACCCAGGATAAGACTCTACAGGGGATGAAAAGAGAACAGCTCCCAACCTGACCCCATATTAACCTGTAAGGTAAGTGATGGTCAGGATTTTACACCGCTGGCCACTGTGGCTATAATCTGCGGCCTTGAATGCAGAGGGTACTTTTCCAAATACTCCAAGTGGGCTCAGGGCATGCATGCCTGATGGTGGACACCTGGATTAGGGTGTGGGCATGCATAAGTGGGCACACCTGGGCCTGGAGGCTGAGCCAATAAGGGTGACATCACACAGAGATGGCTGCAGCGAGACAGTGGCGGTGGAGAGTGGCTACAAGAGGCGGAGCAATGGCTACGAGAGGAAGCCCAGAGGAAAGAGCGTGTAGAGATTCGGAGGAGGCCCAATATGCTGTCTCCCTGCTGGCTGGTCCCCCTGTGTGCTATTAAAAAAACCTGTGGGGATGATGCCAAGGGCTCCAAGTTTCTCTTTTAAGCTGCCTGAACCGACGGTGAACCTACCTGGCCTGGGATGATTGCAAACAAACCGAAACTCATGCCCAGTACAGCCCTAATGCTTAAAAAATTAGCCTACACTGCAAGTGCACATGAGATACTGAGAGCAGGAAGGTGGCTTGGGGAGGGGAGGGTTACTGCGCATCCCCGCTGCGCGACTCTGCCAGTAGGGAAAATACTGAAGAAATCCAGTTTTAGTGACAACATGCCTTAGGAAGGCTCAAGAATTTCAGGATAAGATAGGGTCAAACTCTTCATTTTCCAAAAGGACCAATGAGGCTAAGATCCTGAGATTATAACCAAGACTAGAGAGTCTTCATGCACTTATTATGTGTGAGGTGGGTTCTTGTGTGCTTCCTAGAGAGTAACTCATTTAATTCTCATAATCGCCCAAAGAGGAGCTACTGCCTCATTTTACAGATGAGGAAACCAAGGCACAGGGGGCCTAAGGGACCGCTGGTAGTTGCTCCTGGGTTTGCGGCCCCCGCAGAGCTTCCCAGTGCTCTGGTTGCTTCTCTGGGTAGAGGTCTGGCCTCGCTAACCAGCCCTAGGACCCTCCCCATCAGTCCCCCAGAGGGCGTTATTAGGAGGGGCTCAAGGGGTCCCAGGACCTGCTTTGTACTTGGCTATAGCACTGAACAGCGCCGCGGCTCTCTCCGAGCAGGCGTCGATGAGGGGGACTGTGTCGTGGCCATTGTGGAAAGCCGTTTTGCAGAAGGTGCACAGCAAGTCGTGGTCGCCCCGACAGTACTCCATGATGCGGCTGGACGGGTGGTGGATACAGATCTTCTCGTCTTGGTCCTCGGGGCTGGTGTCCACGAAGACATGGTCCTGCATGGCCACGTCCGAGTGGAAGGTCTTCAGGCAGTCGTTGCACAGGTTGAGGCGGCAGGTGATGCAGCGCTTGTAGGCGATGCGCTGGTGGCGGCAGACCTGGCAGATGACCGGCCCCGTGGAGCGGTCGAAGCGCCACTTGAGGTAGCCGTGCTGCTGCATGTAACGCTTGGTGAGGCGCCCGCGCAGGTAGTTCTCTGGCAAGTGCATCTTCTGACTGTAGGGCATGCAGTGTGAGCGGTCGCACACCGGGCAGATGAGAATGAAGAAGTTCTCGGTGACCTCGGCGCGCTTCTGCAGATGGCGCAGGCACTTCTCGCACAGGCTGTGGTGGCAGGGCAGCATGAAGGAGTGTAGGCGCAGCCGGTTGCACATCGGGCAGGAGAGATGGCGCACTAGGTTGCCATTTGCTGAGATAGTGCCCTTGATGTCGTCCAGATGCGGCTCGCTGCTCCCGATGCGCAGGGCTGTCTTGGAACTGAAAGGGGAAGCCAACACCGTGGTTTAGAGACAGGCTGGAGAGCCCCTGAAAGAACGTCTCTGACAGTCGGTCAGGTGTGATGGTGAGGAGTCTGCGCTCAGTGCCAGGCTACCTGGGTGCTAATTCCAAACCTGCCTCCACCATTTGTGGTTGGGTGGCCTTCAGTAAGCTAATTGACCTCTCCCTCCTAGTTCCTCATTATAAAATAAGTATACATTATAGAGTTTCTTGAGGGGATAAAAATCTACCATAACATCTGCAAGGCCTGGAACATAGTAATGCTCTGCAACTGCTTATTATTCTTTCTTTTTTTTAAAGATTCATTCATTCATTCATTCATTCATTCATTCATTCATTCATTCATTCATTCATTTATACAAGCACTGGGTACAGTCAGAAACACGGGAGGGTGAGAGAATTCACCAGAGCCAGAGTGGGGAACAGAACAGGCAGACTGACGAAACACACTGCTGAGGGGAGCAGCAGGTGCAGCAGGAGAGGTCTGTCGCACCACGTGGGACCCTCGCTGGTGGCCGGGAGTCGAACTGGCGCTGCAGAGGCTGCGGGCAGCTTTGCAGCCCAGCGCTCAACTGCTGTGCCACCAGGGAGGCCCTGTTTATTATTCTTTAGCAAGAGAAAGACTGGCCTCGTACCATGGGCTAGGCCTCCAGTCACATCATAGAACACCACCAGCAGACAGAGGTATTCTGGGGCTGTGACAGAGCAAAGCAGAATCAAGGCCACTTAAGCATCTTTGGATTCAGACAACAGCAATAACGTCCCAAACACAAAATGGCCAAATACCCCTTATCCTGGTTATTGGGAGTGGTTGCTGCTTTTTCACCTATTATAGTGTTGGACTCACTCTGTTCTTCCCAACTTCTGGGCTAGGTTCAGTAAGATACCTAATGGGAGGTTTACCCTCACCACCTATCTAACGTGAGCATAAATCCTGTAGTAATTTATTGATGCCTTCTTATGAGACATTGTAGGGTAAGTGAAAAATCATCTGGCTTTCTCGCCCTTCCACCATTAGCATTAATGGTGGGTGCCTGTGGTCCTAAATGCATGCCTGATGGCGGGGACCTGGAGTAGGGTGTGGGCATGCATAGGTGGGCACACCTGGGCTGAGATTGGGCTTATAAAGATGGCATCACGGGGACGCCAGCAGAGCAGAGCAATAGAACGAGCAGGAGAACAGAAGCAGGAGAAGGGGAGCAAACAAGCACAGCAGCAAAGGAGAAGCAGAGGCCATGAGAGAATGCCAGAGAGCCCAGAAAGAGTGAAGATTTGGTGGGGGCTGGGGGGCCTGCCACCCTTCTGGCTTCCCGCCCCCCCCCCCTTGTAAAAAGCTCAATAAAAGCCACCAAGGACTCCAGGACTCTCCTTTACCCATCTGCTCAGATCATAGAGATCCTGCTCTGTGCCTTCCTGGTACTACAGACATTTGCTTCAGTATATTCTCATTTATTGCATTGAGACAAATCCAATTGCATGCAACTACAGTGTGTTCTTGGTGAGTTTTTCCTGCAGGGTATTGACATTATTTTTGTGAGTAGGATGGAACACAGAAGGGGATAAACTGTCCTTCCCAGGATACTAGAATGCATGTGTCTGATCACTAGATTAATAGGCTCTGTGACAGTGAATTACATGATGGAATTCACCGCTTTAAAAAATTTCACCTTTGACAAGAGTTTCTCAGCCATCCTCATCGCCAGTCTCCTTATCTGTAACTCAGAGCTCATGAAACTACTTTTTTCAAAAGAATTTTACGAAGTCTATGTGAGATAACTTTTAATAAGTGCTTAACTGTTAGTCCCTAGTCAGTACTCAGTAAAGGGCACCACTGTGATTACTCTCCCCTGCTACTAGCCAGCTAATGTCCACAGTGGAGGAAAGCAGTGATTAAGTCCATGACAGATACTTATTTCGTGTGTGTGTGTGTGTGTGTGTGTGTGTGTGTGTTGGTTCTTTATTAGTCTAATATCTAAGGTTGATTCCATATATTTAATTGTAAGAAATATGAAGTAAATGCACCCTTGTGAAATTCAAGAGCATATGTTAAGAAGCTACAATCAGGGCAAATGCAGTTTATGAAAATAAATTAGCCGTGTGCATGGAGGTATGAACAGAGATACACACTCTGACTGTTCCTCGCTCTTCTCTGTTCATATTAGTGATGCCTGGGTATCATTCTTGACCTCATGGCTGTGTTGTCTTCTGCTTCTTGCAGCCTTTATATGTCCATGTCTCCTCCCCCACTCCTATATCTAGGGGCCTATATCTCAGCTGAGATAGTCAGTGATGTTGTACAAATTTACTGGTATGGAGCTGCCCAGTAGTGACAGAGCACCCCCTTAGGGACACTAAGACACTGGGAAAGCGCATCCCTTAGGGATTTGGATGCTTGACTCCAGGTCGGTGGGTCTCAATGTTCTTACCCTAGTTCCCTCTCTGCTTTTTAAGTCTCTTCCCTGGGACATGAACGGGTCACCTGGAGGTTCAGGTGGTAGTTGATAGAAAGACTTCTCTAGGTCGATAAGGTGGGACTCTGAGAATTAGGGTGTACTATAGAGGGGTCAGTATGAGAAATCAGGAGGAACGGTGGTGGAAGAGAAAGAGAAAGCAAGCCTGGGGGACAGATGTTAATGATCCAGGGAGCTGGGGGAGAAGGTGAAAAGGCAGTGAGAAAAGGAAATGAGTAAGGCAGAAAGGGGTGAAGGAGACAAGAATGCAGGTGGGTGAGGAAGATGCTGAAATGGAAAGTTGTGAGAAGGAACAGTGGAGGCAGTGGTTCAGAAGCCAGGAAAGAGGCCAGATGCGAGTTAAGCCACACTAAACCCAGAGCTGACCTCTGACATAGTAACATCTCTGAGCATCCTCCAAAAGCCTTGGACCTAGACAGTCAGTGGCCATGGTTCCATGCCCAAACAGTTCCCAAGGCTGAGTGCCTGGTCTTCCTGCTGAGCTATATGGCCTCTGCTCCTCTCCCCCCTCCCTCTCCCAAATTAAGTTCTGCTTTTTTTATACCTGTGTTCTCACTGCACCACTTCTCATTGTTTAAAGGACTAGTCTTTTGGATTCCCTCCCTGTCTCCTCCGGGCCATTCTACACTTTAGAAGTCTCTCTCTCTCTCCCTCCCCCCTCTCTCTCTCTCTCCCCCACCTCTCTCCCCCACCACCCCCTCTCTTTCTCTCTTTCTCTCTGTGTGTGTAGTAGGGCTTTTACAATTCTGAGACAGGTTCATACCCCCAAACCAATAAAAATTAGAATCTATGGGCGATCAGGGTCACATATCAGTATTTTTAAAAGCTCTTCAGGTGATTTCACAGCATATCAAGATTTGGGAACAGCTGATCTAAGCCGTCTTCCCCAAGTGCCATTGTCATTCTTCCCCTGTTGAAATGGACTCAGTGACTCTTCATTGCTGATACACAGAAAATGGGGGCTGTCAAGAGAATTCAGGAGTGTGGATACTTCTTTCTGGATCTGCATTCAGGACCCATGTGTTCTCCATGCAAACACTGAAGATGTTCAAGGGTGGAGAAGTAACATTTATTAACCATCTACTAAGTGTTCAACTAAGACTTTACTCTTCCCCTGAATTCTTCAAACCCTTGCTCACAGAGTTGTTTTTCCAGCCTTGAAAGGTTTCAAGCCTGCCTCTCATTTTTCTGCCTCTCTGAATCCTGCCAATCTGCAGTGATGGGTGTTGAATGCCAACCCCTATCCCATGTCTGCCTCTGCTGCTCCATATCTCCTTCATGTGTGACTTAAAAGAAAGAGTGGCCTCAGTGCCCAGCATAGAGGGTTAATGCCCCACATGAGTGCTTGAGACCCCCAATGCCAACTCTAAGATAGGCCATATGGGTCAGAGTGACCTGTGGAATTTACTACTTTTCCAAAAAATGTTGCAAATATCCAGACATCAGAGGAGAAAGAGAAAAATCACTTCATATGTTTATGTCACATGACAGGTTACTAGCACATAGATTAATCCTTACACCACCAAATCACAGAGGTCTTATACTCTCCATTTTGCAATACAACATTTGAAAGTTAAGAACACAGACTCTGGGTTTGAATCCTGATTCACCTTACTAGCTGAGTGATCCTAGACAACCTCACTTCTCAAAGACTCAGCTTTGTCATGGGGAAGTGGGATTTGGCAAGGGTTTGATGGGACTGTGCATGGAGTGCCTAGCAAGTAGCGTAAGCATGAAGTATTAGCTATAATCCTCTTTTGTACAGGTGGGAAAGTTGAGGTTCAGGAGAGCATGCACTTATTCACACAGACCATGGAGCTTGGATTTGGAACTCAGGTCTGCAGGTGGGTGGTGGTTGTTGAGGACATGCTTAATTGCTGCAAAATAGTTGGCCTTCTCTTTGAAGGTAGAGAAATGGACTTGGGGTGAGGCACTGGGCTCCCTTGTGATAGGAGGATCCCAGTTTTCCTGAGCCAATGTGGCTGGCAGTGGGTCCCCAGCACTTACGAGGTGTGGATGGTCTTGAGGCGCCCCTTGTGGAAGGTGATGGTGGCATTGCGGCAGCAGCGGCTCTCATAATAGTAGCACTTGAGGTTGCTGCTGGTGGTGCAGCAGCACTTACAGTTGGGGTCATTGGCCCAGGAGCAGCAGCACCAGTGGCAGTTGGGGTTCTCAGAGCAGGTGCAGTGGCAGCACTGACAGTTCCGCTCATCCTTGTAAGGGCAGGGGAAGCAGGTGCAGTTCCGCTCCGAGGTGAAGACGAACTTGCAGCACAGACAGGAGCATAATCGGGGACAGCATCTCTGCCATGTACAACATGGAGAGCAAACACACATAGCAGTCTCCATGGCGCCTACATGATTGCCACCTGCCCCCTAGGGCTTGGGACGCCTCCTTTACAAGAATCCTGCTGTCAGTTTTCCGGAGGGACCTTCCCCCTCTTGGTGAGGCCGTCAGTGTGGAGGTTGCAAAAGGGTGGCTGTTATGGGGCCTTCACAGCCGGTGTCCCTACTAGGAAGCTCATGAGTTGGTATTTACATCTATCAGCATGAGGCCACCTGCTATGTCACAATCCCTCTCTCTCCCCATCATATCTCACCATGCTGGGAGGAGGGAGGGTGAGACCGGGGGTGGTGGCAGGTACACTGATGGACACACCATGATTCCATAGGGCTCCAGGGTATTCCTGAAATGAGCAGCCTGGGGGGGTCTAGCTGTCATAGAGTGTCACTTTTGAATTATGGAGTGCATTTCAGAAGCTTTTTCTCCTTGCTGGTTACTTTGCCTGCAACTGGGCATGTTGACTTCAGGCTGTGTATTCTCAGGCTGTGAGGCCTGGGTATGACTAATTGGAAAAGCAAACAAATGTGATTTTCCTCTCTTTGAGCTTTTTCTGTATTTGAACTCTGTATTTAATGAACAAGGCATGGTGTTTACAAATAATAGCAATGCCACATTTGAAGGGAATCACCATTTGGAGGAAGTATTGAAGGAAAAAAACAGACCTAGTTTCATCTAGGCATTTCTTTCAACAGTCATTGATTTTAGCAGTCACTGAATAGTCACTGCTGATTTTTATGAATAATTTCTAAGAGGAATAGTCAAGGGCAACCTTCAGTTGGTGGTCTTCATAGCAAACTTGTGGTAGAAGGTAGAGGTTTTCACACTCAACTCCCTGAGCTGGGGAGTTGATGGGAGAAAGGGGTAGAGCTGAGACTTTTTTGGCAGGTAAGCTACTGAGGCTTTTGGCATTTAAAACACTAGCAAGGAGGGGTTTCTGTGGAGAAACAACCAGCTTGCCACATGTGGCTTTGTCTTGGACCTTGTTCTCTGCTCAGTGGATGCAAACTGGTGTAGGACAGACATCGTGTGACCATGGGTCAGCTTTAAATTTGCCCTGCATGCGTTTTGGTTTGTGTGGGTGTGTGTCTGTCTTTCTCTCTTTCCAAGTGTAAATGAATCAAGCTATTGTTGTCTGTTTTGGGGTTGTGTCCTGCATTCATAAGCATGTGGGTAAGGATCCACCAACTGGGTCAACGCTGCTTCCCCAGGTTTGTCCTATTTCAACTTGTCACTGAATATTTACTGGCTTTTTTTCAGCTTCATGAAATCCAGTTGAGACTCAAGCTCTGTTCCCTTCCTCCCCTCTACTACTATCACACTACATTCCTTTCATCTTAGGGCTAAAGCTCCGTATATGAATCTTTAGCTGTTCTGTTAGTATATGCTCTCTTACCTTAGAAAGAAGACCTTCTATTTTAAGGGACAATTTTGCTTTCCACTTTATGTAGCTTGCAAAGATTATAGAGTAGAAATCTCATGGTCATGCCATCCTATGTTATAAACATAGTGTCATTATTTTTTCAGAAAGAAGTAGAAGTGAGAGCTGAATTTGACTGCAGGAGTTTATTGCATAATTTATTTTCTGTCCCTAAGATTATCACCTTCATAATAGGAAAGAACATTCACTGAGTGCTACCTGTGGCAGTCACACATTTATTTAGATTTCTACAAATGAAAATTCTGCATCATAGGGTATGTGCTTTATCTTTTTTGATAGATATTACTGTGTTGCTTACCCAAATGAATTGTGCTAGTTAATACTCACACCAACAACGTGTGGGAGAGAATTTCCCAATTGCTTTCTTAAACTAAATTTTATCACGGTTCCTCCCACCCTCCAAGCAGACAGGTTTGAATTTCACTCCTGAACTTGTAGCACATTTTATTATTGATGTATGCAGGACTTCCTTTTTCTTTTTCTTTTTTTCTAAAATATTTATTTATTTATGCAGACAAGAACTGGGATACAGGCCAGAGATGCAGGGGGTGAGAGGACCCACCAGAGACAGAGCAGGGAACAGAACAGGCAGACTGCCTGAAATACACTGCTGAGGGGAGCAGCAGGCGAGTCAGGAGAGGTCTATTATGCCATGTGGGTTGCTCCCTGGCCGGCTAGGGATCGAACTCATGCTGGAGAGGCTGCGGATTGCTTCACAGTGCTGTGCTTAACCCCTTGTGCCACCAAGGAGACCCTGTTTTTATTTTTTATTAGTACGTAATTCATTTACCATTTAGTTCACCATTTTAAAGTGAACAATTTAATGGACTTTAGTAATCCACAAGATTTTGCAGCTATCACCACTACCTACTTCCAGAACATTTTCATTATCCTAAAAAAGATACCCTATACCCATTAGTAATCTTGCCCTAATCCTCACCACTCCCTCTGCACTCCCCTCCAATCATTAATTTACTTTATGTATCTATAGACTTGCCTGTTCTGGACTTTTCATATAAATGTAATTATATAATATGTGGCTTTTGTATCAGAAATCTTTCATTTAGCATAATGATTTCCAGTTTCATCTATGTTTTAGCATATACCAGTATTTTTTTCTTTTTTACAGAATTAAATATACCACATTTTGTTTTGTCCATTATCAATTGATAGACATTTGGTTTGTTTCTACTTTTTGGCTATTATGAATAATGTTGCTGTGAACATTTGTATGCAAGTTTTCATATGGAACATAAGTTTTCAAGTCTCATGTATAATTAGGAGTAGAATTGCTGAGTCAAATGGTAACACTGTTTAAGTTTTTGAGGAAATGCCAAACTTCTTCCTAAACAACTGTACAATTTTATATTTTTATATTCTAACTCTAATATATAAGGGTTACAATTTCTCTAATTCCTCACCAAAACCTCTTATAGTTTAAAAATATATATTGTTAAAGCCATCATAATGGATATGCCGTGGATCTCATGATTTAGATTTGAATCTGATGGATAATGATGTTGACTATCTTTTCATGTACTTATTAGCTATTTGTATATCTTGTTTTTGATCCAAGACTATTCAAATCCTTTGCCCACTTAAAATTTGAGTCATTCATCTTTTTTTTTTATTGTTGAGTTAAAAGAGTTCCTTGTATAATATGGATACTGCACCCTTATCAGATATATGATTTGCAAGTAGTTTCTTTATTTTGTGGATTATCTTTTTCTTTTTTGATGGTGTCCTTTGATATAAAATTTCTAATTTTTGCTAAAGTCTAATGTATGCATTTATGTATTTATTTATTTATTTGCTGTTGCTGCTTATTTTTTTGTATCATTGAAAAATCTTTTCCTAAAACAAGATGGAGTTTTACACCTATCGTCTCTCCTAATAGTTTTTGTAGTTTGAGAAACTTAGATTTTTGATTTATTTTGAGTTGATTTTTTTTATTTTGTATGAATTATGGGTCCTAACTTAATCTTTTGCATGTGAATATCCACTTACTCTAGCACCATTTGTTAAAAAGACCATTCTTTCTTGAATAGTCTTGAAATACTGGACTCTGTTCCTTAGATCTAGATACTTATGCCAACCACACTATTCTGATCACTGCAGTTTCATATTAAGTTTTGAAATTAGGAAGTGGGAATTCTCCCAGTTTTTTTCTTTTGAAGATTGCCTTAGATATTCTAAGTCTCTCATATTTCATTATAAATCTTAAGATCAGCTCTTCCATTTTTGCACCAAAGTCCAACAGAGTCATGGGAGAGACTGCATTCTGCATATTTAATTGGAGAATATTGTCATCTTACCAAGATGTTCTTACATTTATTTAGGTCTTTAATTTCTGTCAAAAATGTTTTGTAGCAATTTATAATTTTCTGCACTTTTATAGTTAAATTTATTCCTTGGTATTTTATCATTTTGATATTGTGGTAACTGGAATTGTTTTCTTAATTTTATTTTTGGATTGTTTGTTGTTAATTTGTACTACAACTGATATTTCTACATTGGCCCTATATCTGGTGACTTTTATGAACTCATTATTAGCTAATATCTTTTATATTGATTTGAAAGGAAATCATTTAATCTATGAATAGAAATCCTTGTCCTTTCATTTCAATTTCAATGACTTTTATTTATTTTTCTTGCTTAATTTCTCTGGCTAGATTTTATTATAAAATGTTGAATTACATGGTTTTAGTGGACATCTTTGACCTGTTCCTAAACTCAGGGTGGAAATTTTCAGTTTTTGATCATTTAGTATCATATTAGCTATAGGTTATATCTTTGATCATGTTCAGGAAATTCCAATTCGTGGAGTGGACTTTTTTTTTTTTAATTTTTAATTTTTCACATTTTATTTAAATTTTATTTTTTATATTCCCCATACAATTACAACCCCCTTATTTGGACTTTTATTTTTAATCATGAAAGAGTATTGGATTTGGGCCTCCCCGGTGGCGCAGCGGTTAAGCGCTAGGTTGCGGAGCTGCCCGCAGCCTCTGCAGCACCGGTTCGATCCCCGGCTGCTCCCCGGCCACCGGAGGAGGGTCCCACATGGCGCGCAGACCTCTCCTGCGGCCCGCTGCTCCCCTCAGCAGTGTACTTCGGTCCTTCTGCCTGCTCTGCTCCCCGCTCTGGCTCTGGTGAATTCTCTCACCCTCCCGCGCTTCTGACTGTACCCAGTGCATGTATAAACAAACAAACAAACAAACAAATAAATAAATAAAAGCATGCCGCTATATAAAAAAAAAAAAAGAGTATTGGATTTGTCAAGTTTTATTTGCATCTACTGAGAATATTCTATAGTTTTTGGATATTTTGGTAGTTAATTCCCCATCAGATAAATGGTTTGCAAATAATCTCTCCATTATTTAGGGTGTTTTTTTACTCTGTTATTATCGCTTCTGAGAAGTTAACAGGGGCCTCCCAGGTGGCGCAAGAGGTTAAGTCGCAACCTGTGAAGATATCTGCAGCCACTGTAGCCCGAGTTCGATCCCCATCCAGGGAGCCACCCACATGGCGCAGTAGATCTCTCCTGACTCACCTGCTGCTCCCTTCAGCAGTGTATTTCGTCAGTCTGCCCATTCTGTTCCCCACTCTGTCTGTTATCCTCTCACCACCCACGCCTTTAGCCTGTACTCCAGTTCTTGTGTGCATAAATAAATAAAAAAAATTTAAAAAAATTAATAAAATCCATCTTACCTCTCTTTTTTTTAAAATAAATTTTATTTTTATATTCCC